TGCCATCCACTAACTTCCTCACTTTCTCCCCTAATTATTTTTTTCCTCCCAAGTCAACTCTTTGTTGTTGTATTAAAAACAAAGGAAAAAAAAAAAAAAAGGCTACTTGTGTATATTATAAATACATGCACCACTGATTCAGCTGAGTACCTTTCAGAACACATTGCCATCATTGTTTTGTTTTGTTCCTTGAGTTGTTTTGGAGTTGTAGGAATTATGGAGAATGAGGATGCTATTTCTGCTCCTTCAACCCCAGCAACACCAGGCACTCCTGGTGCTCCTCTGTTTGGAGGGTTTAAAGGAGACAGAGGAGGGATTTATGGAAGATCAAAATCCCTTCTCAAGAGTTGCAAGTGCTTCAGTGTAGAGGAATGGGCCACGGAAGAAGGGAGATTACCTTCTGTTTCTTGCTCATTGCCACCTCCTCCAGTCTCACTTGCCAGAAAGGTATTCACAAAATTAGATACAAATAGAACCCATTTTTTAAAATGAATCCAAAAGCTTACCAACACATGTTTGTGTTCTTGCATGAGAGAAAACCAGGTGGGAGCAGAGTTCGTAGGCACTATGATTCTCATCTTTGCCGGGACAGCTACAGCCATTGTGAACCAAAAAACACAAGGGTCTGAAACCCTCATTGGCCTAGCCGCCTCCACAGGGCTTGGTGTCATGATTGTCATTCTCTCCACCGGCCACATCTCCGGCGCTCACCTCAACCCATCAGTCACCATTGCCTTTGCTGCCTTAAAACATTTTCCATGGAAACATGTACACAAATCCTTATGCACTTTCTATATTTTATGCTCTTGTATAAAGCAGCTAGGACTAAACTTTTCTAGAGTTAAATCTGATGTAGGTACCAATGTATGTTGGAGCACAAGTGATGGCATCACTGTGTGCAGCATTTGCACTAAAGGGAATTTTTCACCCTATGATGGGAGGAGGAGTGACAGTTCCTTCTGTAGGATTGGGCCAAGCATTTGCATTGGAGTTCATCATTAGCTTCAATCTCATGTTTGTTGTAACTGCGGTGGCCACCGACACAAGAGCTGTGAGTACTTTCTTTTTAGCACCTTCTGCAGATTAAGGACACATGCACCCCCAACAATTAAGGGGAAGGAAAGCAACTTGGATTGATTTCCAGCATTTATTTAAGACTATGATTCAGATCATTACATAAACTATTCATCTTTCCATGTTCAAGATACATTATTATTTTCCTGAACATTTGATTCTTTTGCTTATTTTCTAACCCCAAGAGACAGGGGTCAATGATCAAAGTTGGCAACGCGTCTTATTACAATTTCAATTTCCAATAAAATAAAAATCAAACAAAAACAACATATATGAATATTTTAACCATAAATTTGTTTGCCCTCCAGACATATTGTGTTATGTAGTAAACTTTAAATTTTAAATTAAATATCTCAAAATTTAACCTTAAATGGATGTATATAAAGTTAAGAAAAAAATATTATCTTTTGTTATGAAATCTATTATTTAATGTAGTAAAAAAACCATTAAGTTTGCTTACACATCTAAAATCCAAGTCATAACTTTCTTTTGCATGCGTTTAATTATTTAAATCGACAATGGATGAGTCAGGCCAGAAAACTAAAAGCTTTCATATGGCGAAAAAATTACACAACTTTCCATTCTCCTATTCCTTCCATGTCTTTTCCTTTTCTTGACCCAAAAAAAGGGTAGGGAGTAAGAGGAAATTCTTGTACCCTGTTCAAATTAGTTATTGTGCCATTTTTTTTACTCATGCAATTTTAAATAACAATTTTATATAGAATATGATTGATAAATAAATTGTTTTTATCAAATAAAACTATTCAATAAGTCCATCTAAAGAAATTTATTTTCTTTGCAAGTGACAATATTATCTATGTGAAAAAAGGATGGGACAGTTAATTTTGAAACTGAGGGGTCTAGACTATAGTTATGGCTACACAAAAATATTATAGTTGTTTTTGATTTATTTGATTTTATTAATTTATAACAGATTAGATTGTTTGAAAACATTAACCAATAAATTATTTTTAAACTGTTAAATAAAAGATATAACTATTTTATCCACTATCAAATATTAGAAGTATCAATTAAATGAAACACAGTTCTAGTATTTTTGTGTAGCCATGAACCATGCTTGGGTGTCTATATAAGAATATTGTAATAATGTAAAATGAGTGGTAATGAACTGAGTAGGTGTTTCTACCATGGCTAAATTATTGTCACAATTTAAATTGTTATAACTCTGAGTTCAAATTCAAGTCGCATAACATACAAATGAGGTGAAATAAGAGATAAGAAATGATTACCTATAATTGTGCAACCAATATCAAAAAAACAAAAAAAATAGCAGTCATTACCATTGCCCCTCTGCCAACGAAAGGAAAAAAAGGAAAAAACAGAAAAGAAGAAGCTGAGTAGGTATCTCTGACAAAACGCAGGTGGGAGAGTTAGCGGGAATCGCGGTGGGGGCAACCGTCATGCTTAATATCCTCATAGCAGGGTATGTGTGATTACTGTTTCTTGCTGTATTGTTGTTGACATCTAAGCTCTCATCAAACACTACTATTTACCCTCCAACTGAGAATAGCAATTTTTCACTATATATTTGTGTAAAATCGAAGTTTCAAAGGTAAGTTAGCGCCTACCGAAATCACTTCTTCATTTGTTTGTGTTATGGTACAGACCATCAACTGGTGCTTCAATGAATCCAGTAAGAACATTGGGGCCAGCCATAGCAGCAAACAACTTCAAGGCCATATGGATCTACCTCACTGCTCCAATCCTGGGAGCGCTGTGTGGTGCTGGAACCTACACAGCTGTCAAGCTGCCAGAGGAAGATGGTGAAAAGCTGTCAACAGTGAGGAGCTTCCAAAGGTGATTAACAATCCGTCACCAACCTGCATCAAAGGTCCGGAGCACAATGTGATGCCGCTGCTTGGAGGCAACTCAGACAACATTATGGCAATGCATCAATGTATTAAGTAAATTATCTGCTTAGTCTGTACTCGAGATACAAGTATAGTATAGTATAGTATAGTCAAGCAGGTGTGTTTCTTTGGAGAAAGGAAAAACAAAGACAAATGTATCAGAAGTCGGTGCAGTGTGAATTTATAAATAAAATCAGTAATCTCACAACAGATTTCCTTCTACTCCTCCATGGATATTAGGTTCCAAATTCAAAATCATTTTATTCCCGCAATAGCTAAAGACTAACTTCCTTTGCCAACATAGAGGAAGTGTTCGTTCCGGTTTTTACATGTAAAATACCAGTATTTAACGGCAGTAACTCACATATATTCCACCTTAAAAATGCACAATGGTTATGTAACCATTATGACAAGAAGGCCAAGTCTTTATGATAAGTAGAAACAATAGGGAAAAAAAAAATGACAACAAAAAGGAAATTTGGAGTTGCGCCACCCACAAAGAATATTCTTAAATGGAACCTAGTTGTCCATGACACTTACAGCCTTACAGGAACCTGCCTTGGTCACAAAGTCATTTTGATAATAATACCAACCACATGTCATATCCTGGTTCCCACTGTGTGTTCTCTGGTCCAAACACTAACACATTGCAATGAGATATATCCTTCAAAAAGCTCAAAACGCCTACTTTCTCACCTAAGAGGCTATACAAACCAATATAATGAAAAGCAGAATCAATGAACACAACAATTCTCAGGTCGCACTCTTAAGTTTTATCTAGTACATTCAAATGGGTCTGATGTTCAATCATGACAAGCTGTTTGAAATCTAGGGAAATTTTCATAATAATAGAGTTGGGAAACAAACTTCCCTTCATGTTGCCAAACTTCACAATTTGAAAAGAGAATCTGATAAGCAGAAAGTTAAACATATCGTGAGATACTTTGATTTCTTAATTTCAAAATATATATATATATATACAGTAACATATCCATAAATGTATGGAGATACATGCACAAATACAGTAAGATACCTATACACATACTGAGATGCATAAACAAATACAAACTTAGAACCAGGAAAAGAGTAACGAATAAGCTAAATCTCAATAGCCAATTGACAATAGGTAAAATGTCAGATAATATAAGCATGCCATTCTCCTTTTTACTTCCTGACCGTGTAAAAAGCATAGAGGATTCAGAATTTGAGGTTAAATCTCTCCCAATATATTTCGTTCTAAGTTCTAACTTTCATAAATATTTGGTTCCTTGTTCAAACCACTTTATTTACCAACAGCAAATGTGTCGATTATGGTTTTACATATACATTACCCACACAAACAATAATATCTAGCACATATAATATATTCCACCTCTGGATGACATGATTCATTCCTTGTTCAACCTTTCTGTATCAAAATGCCACTGGAATTTCTCTCCTCCTTTATAGTATAGTTATTAGCTCATCATATAGCACCCCTGATCGAGCCTGTATTGCATAATCAGTAAAGGTATTCGTGTCTACTGAGACAATCATGCTGGTCGACTTCCTCAAATCATCATTTAAATCTACAACAATCAGTTCAGTTCTTTTGAACCTATTCATTGACATACAAGCAAATATATAATTTATTATACATATCAAACTTCTATTGCCTAGATTCGATTTCCATTTATCTTTCTTCTGTAGAGAAGTTCTCATTTACCAACTAAAGCCCTTCAAAGGCATTAATCTTCTGTCAAAATCCATCTACCAATTAAAGAACCAGACACATCAACTAAGTCAAATAATTATTTTGGAATTGCAGCAACATGAAGAAATAAAATTTAGTCCAAATGTCTTCTACACAAATAAATTTAACCACTGAATGTGATCAATGATCCATAAATGAATTTAAGCTCAAATGCATATTGAAACAGACGGGAAGAAAGCCAACCTGAAAATTTTTTACTCTCCTTCATTTTCTCTGCAACCAAACAGGTGTTTCCCTTTACACTCCAAAAAGCAATCGCCATAGGATTAAGCTCTCAAAACAACCAACACCATTAGCAATTCAACCTGAAACGAAAGACCAACTCAAACTGGCAAAACCCGGCGAGTCTGGCCCGGATCCAAACCCGACCTGCTCCGTCTCTTCCTCAAAAGGAGTAACATTGCAGCGAACAATACGCCAAGGAAATCGGCGACGGCGTCCCTGGCAGAGGCGCCTGCAGAAGGGAAGTAACCAAGATGGTCGGCGGCTTCCTTGGCGGCGCCGGCGGCGAGGGAGAGGAGGGATCCAATCCAAATAGAGTGGGTGCGAAGGAAGGCGTAGCGGGAGAATGAGGCTAAGATGGAGAAGAGGAGTGTGAGAGAGAAACAGAAGACGAAATGGTAGAGTTTGTCCGGCGCCAGCCAAGGATCTTCGTCGTCGACGACGACGACGACGGCGTTCTCCATGCCGGCCCTGCTTCCAAACCTCTTGAGCTCCGAGTTTTGGTGTAGCTAAGGGAAGCAGATCGGAATCCAAATCCAAGCCCAACAGAAAAAGGTCGAAGGGCCAATTTTAATCAGGCCCATTTACAATGAAGTTAAAGTTCGGTTGAGAGGCTGTCAATTATCGGAAAAAATATAGCGTAAACTCAATTGTATCGAACTACACTACATTAATTCTCTGCTGGCGTATTTTCTCAGACATTTGATTATGGAGTTTCACATGCAGAATATAACATCTTCTCTCCAGACCATAAGTATATCTAACAAAACAGTAAAATTAATACATCAATATTAATAGTAACGTCAATTCTGCAGTCCTGATTTGCAAAATCGGATCATTGCACTGAGGTAAATAGAGGGAGGAAGATTAAAATTCTACACTTCAAAATTTTCAACAATCTTAAAGTTAATTCATCTTGCTGATTAAATCGTTGATTTTATCTTCACGATTTCCTGCATCTCCTCCTTCCTTGTATGGTTTTTTATTCCCTGGTGAATCTCCTGCTGGCTTGCTAAGCATAAGGGGTCCCATGAAACTAATAACCTCCTTAAAGTGTGGACCAACATCAATAACTTGATGTACAATGTCTTCTACGCAAATAATGCCATATTTTCCCAGTGCCTGCAAAAGGATTACAAAATTAGCAGGAGTACAAAATCCTGGACAGCAAAGATAACCAAGAAATTATTAACAGTGAAGATACGACCAATACCTGTTCGATAACGCTATTGTCTGTTAGAGGGACAGGTTTCTTGTCTATTCTTGCATAACCCCTCTTGTAAATGAGATCCCTCACACTCTTAAGATTAGGATATCTGCCCAAGACAAACGAAAAGGACCAGGAATAAATCAATTGTGATAACAGGCAGTAAAACATAACCGAGCGATCAGGCATCCTATATGAAGAATATTTTAAGAGGCCCTGTTCATTAGTCCAAGTTAGAAACCTCTTCCTTGCCATCAACTAGACAATCAAACAGTTCCAATTCATGGTAAATTAATGATAACTGATAAAGAAAGCCCGCTTTGCCAATGAGGTCTTAGCCTAGTAACAAGTGAGCAAGGTCTAGGGAGGTCACAAATTCACCCTCCGCCCTCCGTGTGAGTAGTCAATGAAAGTGAATAATAATAATAATAATAGTAGTAATAATATTCTTTCTTTTGAGGCCAAAAAAATATATTAATAATAAAAACGATAAAGAAATAAAAAAGAGAAATATAAAACAAGCCTGACATAACTTAAAGGTTTCCAAAATGCTCAACAGTCAAGACTCAACATTCACCACAAATGGTGATTAACGTGCTCAACAGTATAGGAAAAAGGTTTAACATTTAAAGCACAGCTTACAAGTGGATACAGTATACCATCATGGTCGTTTTCTTTATAGTGGAATATGCACAGAAACCTTTGGTTTCAGAGTCCATCCTCATCCAATTTGAAAACAACTAGGTGAATTTGACACTGAAGATGTGATATATCAAGTTGACACTGGACACCTCCACAACCAACAAACTAAAACGAACAAATTGACTCCACCAAAGTTCCCATAAGGGAATTAATTGGTGACTTCACAAGAGATACAGTGTTCTATCTAATATGCTGCAAAAAGAACCAACACTTTCCAGGTAGCTGGGTAAAAGGAACATATGCATCTTCAGAAGGACCAAAATTTCCACTTCCTATGCAAATTATAAGCAAATATTACCATGATACTAGTTAGAGCCACAGGAACATAGGCATTCAATGCAGGATGATAACCATATCATGCGAATGAAAATGATCAATATAAGTTAAAGTAGCCCCCGTAAACTGTGTAGCCTCTTCCTAATAATATCAACTCCATAATGTTCGCCATAGAAGAAAAAATTTGGAAATATCAAAAGGTTGAGTCCCTACCCATATGTGACGTATGGCTCCACCTTTCGCAGCATTTCTAGTACACCTTCCGTTGCCTTCACAAATACACCAGTGAAAATCTTCCTTAACCTAAGGTTGTAAAGGATCTTCCTTGTTTTTGGATGCATCTCATTTTTGCTATTAAAAGATAGAAATGTCAGAGCTGGAAGATATTAAAACCAAGACACTAATAAGATCACAAGAAAATGTAACTCACCCCTGTATACGTATGATAAAGAGCAACTTCAAACTTGGTTTTGGTAAAGCAGATTTCGGTCTCTTTGCCCTCTGTTTCATTCGGATCAGGTCCAATTCCTATACCCACAAGACAATTTATCATTTTTTTTCCCGTTTCTGGTTCTAATGGTAATCACATGTTGTAATAAAATTATAATAACATATGTTAATAAACATCTTAATCAAATGCAAAATGTAAAGCCAACACATCATGCATCATCCTGGTACTGGAAGAGCAAAAATAATAACCACATAGAAAGTGAAGAATGATATTAAGTTCCTGAAAAGCCATGCTTCTAAACCAAAGGTCTAGTCTATACTCTACAGCAGTAAAAGTCGAACAATAATAGTTGTTTCCGTTTGCTTATTCCAGCACTTGGTTTCATGATTTTATCTTCCATCATCTGGGTATATTAGCTTCAAATAATAGAATTTTTCTTTCTGCAGCAGCTAAAGCCTAAAGCCAATGAATCGCTAAAAATTCATGTAATTCCATAATAGTAAAGCATCAATCTATAACAAATATAATCCTGAACACGAAAGTGAGTACCTTGTCCCTGAACTCTTTTACCAGCTGCTCTGGCCTTTTAATATCGCCAACGTCTACTTGCTTCTTGCTTTTCTTCATCCCATATTTCCCCAACTCTAATTGCTTCCTCCTCATAATCGCTAACTCATCATTCCTTTTCCTTTTCTTCAATATCGTCTCCGGTATATATGTCAATGGTTTTGCATCAGCTTCCGCCATTGTTCCTGTTAAGAAGAAGCAGGCGGTGGAGATGAACTACCAGGAAGCCCTAGTGAGTGTTGTGTTGCAGAAAGAGACCGGTTAAAGGTTGAAGAAGGAGAGAGCGATTAGGTTTAAGTTGCGGGAGAGGCTGGAGGCGACAATTTAGCAGCCTAGGGTTAGTGTCTGGTGTTACAAAAATAAATTCCAGGATAATTTTTTAGTAGCCCTCAATCCTTTTACTTTGTGATAAATAAGTGCCTATAAGACAATGTATACCGACTCAGTCCCAACGTTTTATAACAATAGTCAATAGCATCAAATAAGGACGCTAACTTTTCTTTATTATGCAATTCAAGAAACATCTTTTTGTGTAGCAAATAAAGACACTATCTATGAAGTAAATGTCAAATTTTATTAAAACAAGTAGTTTTTGGGTTTTTTTTCTACCTAATTTTTTGTATTACAAGTTGATACCCACTTTTTTATGATATAAATATCATTTTTAAGGATATAAACTATTGATTAATTAATTTAGATAACTAAACTCACTATATTTCTGGTGCACTAAGTTTTTAAGTTAATAATTTAAATGTAGGGCATAACTCATAAGTCTTAACCAACATTTGATGGATTTAAATATCATTGTTTATAATCTAAATGTTATTGGTGATGTAATTAATTCAAATCATTGAAAATTAATTTTAAAATCAATGACTTAAATAATTCAATAATAATTTTTTTTAATAAATTTAAGAGATTCTAAATTTAAATTATATGATATGTGAGTAAAGTGAGTTAAAGAATCAAAGATGGTTGTCTTTTATTGTATTACTTAATATATATATATATAAAGGTTAATTTCAAATGTAATCATTCATATTCTATAGAGTAACCGATTTTTCCTTTTGGCCAATTAAATCCACCGAATTTTTCTTTTGGTCAAATAGAGCCACCGATTTCTTACCCTTTTACTTCACAAATTAACGAATGAATTGCCCATACTTATTATCTCAATTGCCGTTGAGGACAGACAATCTGTCTCCGTCCCCAAACAACTTCTCTCCTTTTAAACGAAAAAGTTTCACTCCTTAATTTTAATTCATACCACCCCATCAAACACAAACAGAGATAATCAAATCTCAGACGAACACGATAGATCTATCGATCCATGGATGTGCCGACCTCATGGGATGCCCTACGCAAACAGGTTCCTTTCTTTCCTTCTCCGTATTCCTCGAATTTTGCTTTCTTGCCTAGAATATTCATTTTAGGTAATTTTATTTTTTCGATTTTTATTCATTTTAGCCTAATTTTAACTGAATTTGTCGATTTCTGTTTGGGGTTTCTTGAGGAAATCTGGATTTTCCAACTAGGGATGATGAAGTTCTGGTTTCGTTTTCTTGTTTAATTTAATTTAAGTTGCTTACTCTTTCTCAGCGAGTTGAAGTTGAAAACATGAAAATGTATGGAAAAAATGTGTGAGATCAGCTCTTGTTAGTAGGTTTTTCTCGTATGGATTAACATTTGACAGTACAAGCTGCTCATTTTTACTGATTCTGAGTTAATTGGATCGTATATTTAATGTAGGTGTAGATCCTTGAATAATAAAATTGAATTTTACTAAAGGATCTGTCTCAGGAAATATTTATGGAATCATGAGGAGGATTTGATATGTTGAAGTTTGTGATTTCTGTGGGTTTTTCTTTTCTTTTTTTCCTCTTCGTTCTCTTTTGCATTCTGGACTGCAGTGGATGTGAGTTGGCTAACAATTGAATATGGTTTATGGCCTAAGAATTTTGACTCTTCGAATTGTTATTTTCTACAGGCAAGAAAACTTGAAGCTCAGTTGGATGAGCAGATGAATTCGTATCGTAAGGTTGTTTCCTCCAAGGCTTCGGTGAAAGTTGATGCTGCTGAAAATGATCTTGAATCTGGGATAGACAGACTACTAAAACAGCTCCAGCAAGTAAACATGCAAATGAAGGACTGGGTATCATCTGGGGGATCTGAAATGGTTTCTCACACCTTGACACGGCATCAAGAAATTCTTCAAGATCTCACTCAGGTAGTGTGGTTTCTAAATTATGCTTCATGGATGTAAATGAATTGTTTATAGCTTAAAATCTATGTTGCCTTGAGCTACTTTAGCTCTAAAAAGTAATTGTGCTCCCTTGGTATGATAGCATCTCTGCCCTTTGAAAGCCAAAAATCAAAGAAGAAAAAACAATTAGAAAAATTAACTGCAGGTGTCTGAACGTTGAACCCCTTTTAACGGGTTATAACTGTAGATATTCAATTTAAAATTTATTTCCCTATTCTCTTTTTCTCTTAGTTTTTATGTGATCCATATCTATGAGCATATCATCTTGGGCATCAGTACACATTGTTGGGTATACCATGCGGTTGCAAGATCTCCGTTCCCATTCACGCAGTGCTCAGCAGATTAGGAGTTTGTTCTAATCTTCACTCTCACCTCTATTCCTCTTCTGAAAGAGTAAAAGAATGGGGAAAATGGTAAAGATTCATGTTTTTCCAATGATATGATGGAAATTGCCATGATGCCAAGGGTACTGTTTGAAGTTTCTTGGTCCACTTCTTCTTTTTCCTTCTGCATCCACAAACCTATATTATCTTGTTACAACACCATAGAGGTTATTCATTAGGATTTTGCCATTCAAATGCTAACTTAATGTTGGATCTGATTGAAGTGCAGGAGTTCCATCGGCTCCGCTCTAGCCTTAGAGCTAAGCAAGAACATGCTTCACTTCTTGAGGATTTTAGGGAGTTTGATAGGACACGATTAGACTTGGAAGATGGTGTTGGTTCTACTGAGCAAGCTCTTCTTAGGGAGCATGCCGCCATTAACCGGAGTACGGGACAGGTATGAAAAGTCAACTGAGCATATTTTGTGTAATTAGAATACTAATTCCTTAATTTCTTCTATTGAAATGTATCAGATTTCTCATTCCATTCGGAACTTTGAGTTTACTGATTGATTTATGACTGTTTTCTTGAGATTGAATTGATAGACATGGTGAAGGCCAAAAAAAAAAGGTGATAGATGTGGAGGACACAAATAAAATGAACTCTTAATCACATTTTGGTCTAAGTGTAGACTGTTTTATATGGCCATCCTTTAAACTTTATTTCCTTGCTTTCTATTTAAGCTTCTTCTAGGTTACTTCAGTATTCGTGAGGTTGTAAGGATCTTGTACAATAATGTATTTGTGAATATATATCATTCTTTGTGAGGACTCATATGGAGCTGATAGGGATGGTAGCAGCTTTGAAAGGCCTGAAATATAGACATCTCTTCCCACTTTGAGATATTTGTTTCTCAACTTGCATATTTATTCTTTGTAATTTAATGAAGGGGATTATTATCTGACTCTGACTATTCTTGTAGGGTTAAAGTCCAGAAACACACCTGTCTTTAATCTACTATATTTAGGTGACGCCTTTTGGAACTTGGAAGGGGCATATTAATGGGGGAGATGTGGGCTCCTTACATCTCATATGATAGCACTTTAATGTTTGGTTTTCATGTGCTACCTGCATTACAATGTACAAATACAGTAAATAGGGATGTGGTGAGATTCCATATGTGAATTTTAAGATCTAAGATAAAGTTTTGGGGAATAATTAGATATTTGATGTAGGAGAGGCAGAGAGCAGCAAAAAAGCCCTTTTGTCAGCATCCTATTTGTGGCTCATATATTGTTTAGAAGGTGGGAAGTATATAGATTATAGGGTTTTCTGAATTAGTTGAATTGTAAGAAATAGAGCCCTTTCTTCTGTCCTATTCGTAGCTCATATATTATTTAGAATCTGGGAAGCGTTTAGATGTTTAGGGTTTGAATTTACAGGAAGATACATTATGGTCTGGGTTGAAGTGGAATGAAGCAGAACAGATCTTGAGTCTGTTCTGTGGCTGCAAGCAGTAACCCATGAATAGAGATTTGGCTATGGTTTTCATTTAATTCTTACTTGATGTGGACTTGCTTAGGGATTGAAAAGATGTTCTTTAGTTAAGGGGCTGAAGTAGAAAACTGAAGCTGGTGAAAGGTCTGAATTCAGAAACAGTTTAGGAAAGATCAAGGCTTCACTCATATATTCCTTTGAAAAACTCAAGCAGTTGGAAACATCTCTAAGAATTTGGTGAATTGATATGTTCTTTTTAGTGGACAGATGCAACTAATGGACCTAGATAAAAGACCAATATGACATTCAGCATGAAAGTCAACCTATTCTAGAAAATTTGAAGGTGTGAAATGTTGTAGACTCTTCAAGAGTAAAGAAAAAATAAACAGGATGATCTTTTCAAATTCCTAACATAAGAAACATAAAACCAGGGCTTATTAGATATTACTAACCAAATCAAGGCTAATCACTAATCAAGCTCTGGATTTTGACTTCTTCCTGTAGCAGCTTTAAAAAAAGGGTTGATTCAAGAAGTGGTTTTGGCATGTGTTGTAGATACATTTTGACGCTACTATGTGTTTTAGCTTTCATTTTCCTACTGTTTATGGAGACCTAATATCTAACATTAGGATGAAGGAGCTGCTGGTTGAAATTTTAATTATTTTGTTGAAGTGAATATATGTGCCTGCATGGACGTCCACAAATCTGTATAGACAGCATAAGCATATTTTTTACTATTTCAATAGGCCCACCTCATCTTTTCTTTTTTATTCTTTTTTTTCGCTTTTTCTTTCTTTTGGTTACTGTGCTTATCATGATCATGTTGAGGTAGTATTTACTTGTTTGAACAACAAGGATCAAACTGGTGTGCTATATGATTCCCAACCTGCGATTTCCTGTTTGATCTTTTTTTTTTTTTTTTGGGGGGGGGGTTGGGGTTATAAAGAGGACTGAATTTAAGATTCAGGAGTTCCTTACTGTGTTCTGTTGTTGTAGATGGATAATGTGATTTCTCAAGCTCAAGCAACACTTGGTACTCTTGTCCTTCAACGTTCTACTTTTGGTGGCATCAATTCAAAGCTGAGCAATGTCGGCAGCCGCCTACCATCCGTATGAAATTTTCCTGTCAACTATACTTCTTTACTTCTCTTTCAGCTTACCTACTTTTATGGTTACTCATTTTTGCTGGCTTTTCTTTGCCTGTACTTTATGTTTCAACCAATACACTGTCTTGGCACAATGATGCAGGTAAATCATATTCTGTCAGCAATAAAGAGGAAAAAGTCCATGGATACCATCATCCTATCCCTAGTTGCATCTGTATGCACATTTCTCATCTTTATCTACTGGTTGACCAAGTGAAGATGTAGTGGTTTTGGGGAAAGGCTGCCACCTCGTTTCTGGGGTTCAGGGCTATTGTTTTGCTTTGTAATGGTGGGTAGTGCGTTTATATTTCTTCATTTGTGTAACAATATGGAATGCCTACTAGTAAAAGGTACACACAGTATTAATATACTCATATTCTTGTATCATCAATGTTTAAACTGGAAAGTTGCAAATAAAAGAGATTGTTTCCATTGCACTTGAATATGCAGCCCTCGGAAGTCAGAGCTGATACAGGTAGCTCTCAAAAGGACTTTAACCTCCTCTGAGAAACAATGAAACAAAGAGCTGAGGCTGCAGGTTAATCATCAATCCTTCATGTTTATCTTCGTTGTATCATATGGATCTTCCTGGCTGACAAGATAAAAAGGTCACAAGCATGTGATCTCTTTATAAATCTCCAGCTCTCACATGAATGACACATTTTTTGACAAATGGCAAATTACGGAATTTGATTTAGTGATCCTTTTCTGACATTAACTCTTGACTTCGGAACTGAGTCCAACAAATCTCTAATTCTTAAGCAAAATCCAAATTGAATAGTTACACTCCTGTTCATTGCTTTTCAATCTCAGATTGCACTTAATTACTTTTATCCCAATGTGCTTATGTTGTGACAAAATGATTCAGTTACATACATCCCCCCAGCAGTTCTCATCCAATATGGAATAGGAGTAGATGAATTCATGCCCACTACATGATGAGGACCCACCCATTAAGAGGGGCTGTTGTTTTAACATCTTCGTAGGTCAAAACCCCTAAGTAATTGGGAGGTCCAGTAGTTGAAAAACTCTAAATAATATGGATAGTGCTTGCTCCCTGGCAATCTCTAAGATGGATTCAACGTATTCTACCATTAGTTCCAACCCAACAAGTTTTATAATCTTTTAGTTTCTTTTGTTATATTTTTATAATTTAAGTTGTATAATAATACATAACATTCTTTTTTAAAATATCTTTCGACGTATTTCAAATCTCAAACCTGAGACATCCAATTTAGAATATTCCATTATAACAAGTTGAGATACCTTATTTGGAGCATCATATATCTTTTCTTTGTTTTTGTCCTTCTGTTTCCCTTTTCCTTAGTGAGGAACATAAAAATAGTTGTGGAACTAAAGGGTGATATGGACATGCTACATAGATTTAAAATTTGTGTTGACCAAACCGAATATAAGTTCATGTATGATATGTAGGAACTGGAAAGCAATCAAATTGGATGCGCAAAATAGTATAAGAGGAGACAAGAGTCTTATCAGAAATTAAATCAAAGAGAGAAGAAGAGATAGAAACGACATCCAACTGTGGCTCAAAGGTACAACAAATACTTTTGATCATCAATAATCAGTCTTTTTCACGTTTCTTCTGAAATGACCCAAGTGCGTTACTAGGATAGGAAATGTCTATGTTACTATGTATACCTCAAAAGTTTTAATCAAATAACTTAGAATTTCCTTTTTTAAAACCTAAAGATGCAATGTATAAGAAGGATAATTCTCTTATTTTCTGTATGACTATATTCTTCCCATTTATTTCAAAAATCAGGAGTGAAGCTTCAAATTTAGAGGCTTAATTAGGATAGTGAGATAGCATGAACACACCGGGCCCTAGTGGACAGACTTTTTGAGAATTTTGTTATACATTGAATTCTTCAGTGTGCCTGCAGACATGAGTCTTATGAGTAATGATTAAAAATTTATGTCCTTTATGAATGATTAGTGGTTCTTCACATCCCTTGATCAATAATCTTTTGCTGACCAAAAAAATATTGATAAGATTTATCAATCACTAACAGTTTAAAGTGGAGGGGTTTGATACCCTTCGGATTTCATTTTCAAATTTTAGGTTATGTTCAATTTATTATAGTATTAATTACTTTTCTAATAATTCATGATTTCTGATTAGTGGGAGTGATTAAGCAGGGTCTTGATTTGTTGATTGATTTGTATCTAAAATTATAGTTGTAAAGTTGTGCCTACTTTCTAAAAAAATAATAAGAAAATCAAAATAAATCTAAATATTGTTCTTGCAAAGCAAACTTATTATTGATAATAATATGTAAATAATTTATCTGTATAATTTTTATATATTATTAAATAAATGTAAAAATTTATAATATCATAAATTTTAATAAAATGCTCACGAGCAAGTGGATGAGTTGGCAATGGACTCTTCCAGTTTAACCAAAGATCTTGGTTTCAAATCCTAAGAATGCAATTCGGTTAAAACTTATGAGGGAGAGAGTTTTGCCGCCTGTTGAGTCCTACTTAGTTCGAATCCGGATTAGTCGGTGGCCCAATAAGCTTTCGGATACCGGATGGTCCAAACCAAAAAAATAAATTTTAATAAAATATTAAAAATCAATCATTAAATAATATATAAAATTATATGAAAAACTTGTACATCAAAATTATCCCTAAATTATTCTCCAACTTAATTATTAATTGAACAATGATTCATGCACCTGTCGGTTTGACACTTGGCGGGTGCACCCACCAAGTGTCGAACCCATAGGTGCACACTGCATAAACTAAAAAATTTTAAAATTAAAATTACAAATTTACCCTCATCACTAAACCCATCTCTCAAATGAGAGCAAGAGCAAATCCTAGCAAAACTCAATCAAGCATTTAAGCACCAAATCCATCCTTACTCGAATCATCTACAAAACAATTGGCA